GATGATGAGGAGGAGGAGGAAGAGGAGGAGGAGGAGGAGGAGGAGGAGGAGGAGGAGGAGGAGGAGGTCGAGCGTGCCCAAAGGGGTTCCTGTGTCCGCAGACTCTCAGAGAATCCGCCACCCGCACGGCAGGTAGTGACAGACAGCGAAGCACTGTAGATAAACAGCATAGTACCCTATGGAGTTGATGGAATAGAAGACGAACCAGCACACGAGGGAGACCCACTGCCCCAGTGCAGGAAAGCCTTTGCACTCTGACGAAGATGAAGTCTCAGTCAATGTCTGGCTCGGGAAAGTCTTCGTCAGCAAGCAGCTCAGAACTTCGAATAGCCGATGGGTGTGGCAACCGCCTCTATTCTCTGCGGCCGTGAAGAGGACGCACCAGAAGTCGCACGGAGAACCTCACTAATATCGTGCTGAATCTGCGATCGTGGTGCAGGAGGCGCCTTGACCAGAGCGGGCGACGGCTCCCCGTCCAGACACGTATGGCGCCCTTCTGGGTGATGGAAAACACAATCCCGCCGATAACACTGGCTGCCATATTTGCAAGGGCGCACCGCTCCAGCCGAGCTAGGGGAGCGTTTACGGGACACCTCATTCTCCGCAAATCCCTCCGGTGAGCGCCCACGGGCCGTCGGCGGTGGAGTGGCACGAACTTCCAACGCATCTAGCCGACTGGCCAAAGCCTCGAATCGGTCAGCAACCGGAGCTGCGATCCGTTCAAATTTTGGCTTCAAAGCTTTGGTCACCGCTTCAGAGATAGAAGAGTCAACCAGTGTGGACACCATATTTGGCAGCGCTTTCGCAACGCCAGAAAGACCCTCACGTACCATGCATTCAGTGTGCTCACGCGCCGTCTGCCCGAAGACGTCGAGCTGATGTTCAAACGTAGCCTTGACCTCGTCAAGTTTAGCAACACAGTCGGTGCAGACAGGGCGAGGGCTGCCCTCTTCCTCAGAGCCCTCCACGCCGTCCGCCTTGCCAGGTGCCGCGGAAGGAGAAGAGGAGGACGAAGCCGCAGAGGAAGAGGACGAGCGAGAGCAGACCTTCTGACCATCCGTCCGATCGAGAAGTCCCTGAAATCTCGCCATTGTCCCGTTCTGGGCATCCACTAAGCCTTGATATGCAAGCAACTGCGAATCATACATCTCGCGTGATTCACTAAGCAGCCTCGTAATGTCCATATAGCTGGACCTGGCTGGGCGACAATTGCAGCCGCCTGCGGCACGGGAGCGGGCGTGAACACTGGTGCCGAAGAATCAAGTTTGAACTCTGCAGCCCGCCGCCCACGCCTAGAAGCAAAGCGAGGCGCACACACGGCCGAGAAACAATCTGCATGTTCGGGATAAACACATTTAAATTCGCACTCCAGATCAATGAGAAACCGGTCGGCCCACGGAGCCGTGAAGTGTGCCAGCACCTGCCCAGCGATCCCCAGTTGACGAATGCGGCGCCTCAATGCAGATGAGAGAACATGCCGCTGCCCGTGAGCAGCCATTTGTAGACCAGAGTGATGCTCAGCAGAATAAACAACAATAAGTCGCAGAATCCGTCCATTGAGACAAGACAAAGAAGCATGAACGTCATCCATCGCAGAAGAAAGCAGAAGCTCAAGCAGAGCAAACAAAAACAAAGCTAGCCGACATGCGCCACAATGGCTACGGAGGAGGAGGAGGAGGAGGAGGATTCAGGATTATGCTGATTCGCGGTGGCACAGGCGCGGGGCAGAACTGGCCGCGGCGGCCCCGCGGGCCTCAGCTGCTGCTCTAGCCGCCGCCCGCGCCTCTCCGCGTCCTCGAGCTCGCGCTGGAGCTGCTGAAGCGCGCCGTGGCTCTCGGGCGGCAGAAGGGGGGGGCTCCTCCATCATCCCCTCCTCGTTCTCCTCTCCCTCCTTCCCCCTTCTGCCCCTCTCCCCCCTCATTCCCGCCTCCTCCCCCGCTCTGCTTTCCGCTCCGCCCCCTCCCACTCCTCCTCCATCTCCTCCTGCTCCTGCTCCTGCTGCTAATCCTGCTGCTGCTGCTGCTCCTTCTCCTCCTCCCTATGCTCTCCCTCCTCCTCCTCCTCCTCCTCCTCCTCCTTCTTGCGATACGCCCTATCCTGCTCCGCCTCCTCCCGCCAGTCTTGATGCGGGTCAAGCGTCGTGAGGACCTCCTCATCCTTCCTCCTCGTCCTCCTCCTCCTCCTGCCCCCCTCTGGCTCCTCCTCCTCCCCCTCCTCATTCCTCTTCCTCGTTCTCTGATTGACAAATCTGGCCGCTCCTCTTCACCCTTACCCTCCTCCTCCTCCTCCTCTTCTTCCTCCTCGTCGTCGTCCTGCTTCTCGTGTTCCTCCTCCTTGTCCGCTTCCACGGCATCGGCCAAACATCCAATGTTTGCCACCTTCGGCTGACCCTCTGGGCGCCCGTCTTCTTTGACCCCTGTGTGGTGCTCCTCCTGTCCGTTCCCTTCTCCCTTCCATCGCCTCCTCCTCGGCCTCCTTCTCTTCTCTTATTTTCTCATCCCTTCTCTTCTCTTCTCTTCTCGTCTCCTCTCTTCTCTTCTCTTCTCTTCTCCTCTCCTCTCCTCTCCTCTCCTCTCGTCTCGTCTCGTCTCGTCTCGTCTCTTCTCTTCTCTTCTCTTCTCTTCTCTTCTCTTCTCTTCTCCACTAGTTTCCTCCCCTCCCTTCTCCTCTCCTTTATTCCTTCTCCTGTCCCTCCCCCACAGGCTACAGGCGACATGCCGACCTATCGCCTCGCAGATCTCGCCACCCCGACAGGGCCCCAACGACGGGCCACAAGTGAGGCTCCCGCGTGCTGGGCTCGCGCAACCAATGAACGGCCCACCGCCCACGAGGCTCGCCAACCCTGTGGGACATCGTACAACATTCCACAAGCGGGGCGCCCGCTGGCTGGGCACATAGCAGAGCGGTTCACCCCTCATCACAGCATAGCACCCCGCGTGCACACTTTCACGTTCGCGGCCTGGCGAGTCACCTTCCGAGCGGTGCCGTTGCGAAGCCAACGCGATCCGACCTGAAGAACAGCGAGCCGTGGACGGCTCACCCCCTTTCCGCACTCCTTTGGGCGACGCGGCCGCGCGCGCGGCGGCGCGGCGTAGACCATCGGGCCAAGTCGCGCGCGCGTCCGGCCCAGGTCACGCGGAACGGGCACACTGGATCCACCCACGTGGGATCGACAGCGTCGCTCGCAGGGGGGCAGACGCGAGGGGGAAGAGACGGGGAGAAGGCGGGGAGACGGGGAGCACGACTCAGTGCACAGCACGAGCGTGAAGGGGGGAGGCGCAACAGCGGACCGCATAGAGGCGGGCCGCGGGGGGAAAGCCGGCCGGCCGGCTCATAACCAGGGCGAGGCCGGCTCTTCCGGTCGAAGTAAGCGGGCCGCGCACAGGTTTAATTAACAGAGGAAGGAAAGCAGAAGGAGGGGCCTCACGTCAAGGGGCTTGAGCCAAAATGGCTACGGAGAGACACAAGCAGACCCCCGGAAGGAAGGAGCAGCGCAGGCAAGCGCAGGTGGGGCGCCAGGGTCCCCCGTCGCTGGCATGCTCTGTGCCTCGCGAAACACGTGGCTCCGTGTCTCTGCGGCCCCCCGCGCCGCGCGAAGCACGTGGGTTTCCCATCGCCGGCTGCTGAAACAACATAACTGCGGCGACCAGAAGCATCGACATCCATGGTTGCCAGAATCTTGCACCATATCCGTGGGGACCAATGGATATGGATACTCTTCCGCTCTCAGGGGTGGGAAGATATCCTTATCCATCACTGCTCGGGAGGCCATCGGGATCCCAGAATACAACTCCGAGCCCCCTGATGTGTACGCGTGCTCGCGGTCGACTACCTAACAGGCTCTGGCTCACGCGAAATACTGCAGCCTCTGCTACTGCCAGGCTCCCTCCCTCGCAACGCACAAGGGTTTCCATCGCTTTCAGTCCCCTGCAGACCAGGAGGGTCTGTGTCGCTGGCAAATCCGTCCCTCACAGAACACGGGCCCTGTCGCCGTCGAACTCCGTCCCTCACAGAACATGTGGGCTTCTTATCGCTGGCAAGCTCCGCCTTTCGCAAACACCGACGTCCCGTCCCACTACTGGCCGCACTCGCTTGTCGCTTGTCGCTCCTCTGCAGCGTCCGGAGCGCGTGCGCGAGGAGGTCGGAGGAGGAGGAGGAGGAAGAGGAGGGGGAATGAGGAGTAGTAGTAGTAGTAGTAGTAGTAGTAGGAGGGAGGAGGAGGAGGAGGAGGGAGGAGGAGTGACGAAGAGGGGGGAGGATGAGGAGGCGTAGGATGAGGGGGAGGAGAGGAGGAGAGAGGGAGGGCGGGAGGATTTAATTGAGGAGGAGGATCAGGAGGAGGGCAGGAAGAGGAGAAGAGGAGGAGGACGAGGATGAGGAGGCGGAGGAGGAGGAAAAGGAGAAGGAGGAGGAGTGAGCAGGAGGAGAGGAGAAGGAGGAGGAAAAGGAGGATGATGATGAGGGAGGAGAGGGAAAGGAGGAGGAGAAGTAGACGTAGGAGGAGGAGGAGGAGGAGGAGGAGGATGATGCTGCTGAACATGATGATGATGGTGATGCGGATGATGCTGATGATGATGATGATGATGCTGGATGATGATCATGAGGAGGAGGAGGAGAAGGAAGAGGAGGAGGAGGAGGAGGACAATGAGGAGGAGGAGTGAGGATGAGGAGTTGGAAGAGGAGTTGGAGGAGGATGAGGAGGATGAGGAGGAATAGAAGGAGAAGGAGGAGGAGGAGGAGGAGAAGGAGGGGGGGGAGGAGGGGAGGAGAATGAGGAGGAGGAGTAGGAGGAGATGGAGAAAGAGGATGATGATGCTGCTGCTGAGGATGATAATGGTGATGATGAGGCTGCTGCTGCTGAGGACGATGATGCTGATGATGCTGATGAGTAGGAGGAGGAGGAGAAGTAGGAGGAGGAGGAAGAGGAGGAGATGGAGGTAGAGAAACATGATGATGATGCTGCTGAGGATGAGGATGAGGATGATGATGATGATGATGATAATGATGATGATGATGATGATGATGATGATGATGATGATGATGATGATGATGAGGACGAGGAGGAAGAGGAGGAGGAGGAGGATGTGAAGGAGAGAAGGAAAATGAGGAACATGGGAAGGAGAGGAGGAGCAGGAGGGAGGGGAGGATGAGGATGAGGAGGAGAATGAGGAGGAGGAGAAGGAAGAGGAGGCAGGAGGGAGGAGGAGGAGGAGGGAGAGGATAATGATGATGCTGCTAATGATGCTGCTGATGATGATGATGAGGAGGAGGTGGAGGAGGAGGAGACGGGGGCGGAGGAGGGGGAGGAGGAGGCGACGGAGGAGGAGGAGGAGGAGAAGGACGAGGAAGAGGAGGCTGAGGAGGAGGCGGAGGAGGAGGAGTATGAGGAAGAGGAGGACGATGAGGATTTCGAGGAGGAGGAGGACAAGCAGTGGAAGGATGATACTGAGGAGAAGGACGAGTATGATGATGATGAGGAGGATGAGGAGGAGGATGAGGAGGCGGAGGAGGAGGAGGAGGAGACGACTAAGACTAATCATACTACTAATGGTAATAATAACAATAGTACGCATAATAATACGAATAAGAAGACGAGCACGAATAATAATAAAACGAATGATAGGACTAATAAGACGAAGACGCAAACTACGAACACTACCACTACTAATAAGAAGAATAATGCGAATACGGACAACACGAATATTACGAATAATAATACTACGAACACTGAGGATAATAATACGAAGACGCAGACGAACAATAATAATACCACTAATGATAAGACTACGGAGACAACTACGACGGGGAATTGGAGGAAGATGCTGATGATGCGTTTGATGAGGACGGGGAGGAAGAGGAGGATGCGGAAGAGGATGAAGCGGATGAGGACGAGGAAGAGACGGAGGGGGAGGATGATGATGATGATGATGAGGAGGAGGAGGAGGATGAGGAAGAGCGAGATAATAATAATGCTGATGCTGATGCTGATGAGGATGGGTATGTTGAGGACGATAGGGGGAGGAGGAGGAGGAGGAGGAGGAGGAGGAGGAGGAGGAGGAGGAGGGGAATGAGGAGGAGACGGATGAGGAGGAGGAGGAAGATGCTGAAGAAGCGGACGAGGAGGAGGGGAAGGAAGATGCGGAGGACACGGACGAGGAAGACATGAATGAAGAGGAGAAGGAGGAGAAGAAGGAGAAGTAGATGGAGGAGAAGGAGGATGAGAAGGATGAGGATGAGGCGGATACGGAGGGGGAGGGGGAGGATGAGGAGGAGGAGGCGGAGGAGGAATATGAGGAGGAGGAGGGTGAGGAGGAAGATGATGAGGAGGATACTTAGCAGGATGATGAGGAGGAGGAAGTGGACGCGGAGGATGAGGAGGATGAGTAGCAGGAGGAGGAGGAGCAGGAGGAGGAGGAGGAGGATGAGGAGGGGGAGGATGAGGTGGAGTAAGAGACGGAGGAGGAACAGAGGGACGGAGCAGGAGGAAGAGGATGATACTAATGATGAGGAGACAGAGGAGGAAAAGGATCAGGAGGACGAGGAACAGAAGGAGAAGGAGAAATATGAGGAGGAAGAGGAGGAATCTGATGAGGAGACGGGAGAGGATGCGGAGGAGGGATGGGGGAGGATGAGGAGGAGGAGGAGGAAGAGACGGAGGAGGAGGATGAGGAGGAGGAGGAGAACTACAAGGAGGATGATGATGATGCGGAGGAGGAGGGGACGGAGGAGGAAGACGATGAAGAGGAGGAGGTGGAGGAAGAGGAGGATGAGGATAAGGAAGAGAAGGAGGAGGATGAGAAGGAGGATGATGCGGACGAGGATGAGGAGGCGGAGGCGGAGGAGGCGGAGGAGGAGGAGGAGGGGGGGGAGGAGGAAGATGAATAAGATGCGTTGGAGAACTATGAGAAAGAGGATGAAGAGAAGGAGGACGTGGAGGAGAGGAGAGCGCTCGGAGGAGGAGGGAGGCGGAGGAGGAGGAGCGGGAGGAGGCTAAGTGGGGGATAACGAGGAGGATGAGGACGAGGAGGAGGAGGAGGAAGAGAAGGAGGAGGAGGAGGATGAGGCGGCGGAGGAGAACAGGCGGAGAAGGGATAATGGAAAAGAAGGCGGAGGACGAGGAGAGGAGGAGGAGGAGGAGGAGGAGCCAGGAGGACAAGGAAGGGAGGAGGGAGGAGTAGGAGGAAGAGGAGGACCGGAGGGGAGAGACGGATAAGGAGGGGGAGGGGGGGAGGGGGAGGAGTGGAGGAGGATTGGACGAGGAGGAGGAGGAGGCGAGGAGGAGGAGAATGAGGATACTGAGGAGGATGAGGAGGTTGAGGATGAGGGTGAGGATGAGGAGGAGGAGGAGAGGGAAGGATGAGGAGACGGAGGAGGAGGAGGGGACAGAGGAGAAGGCAGAAGGGGAGGAGGAGAACGACAAGGAGGAGAAGACGGACGAGGAGGCGGAGGCGGCACGAGGAGGGGGGGGAGGTGGAGGATGAGGAGGAGGAGGAGGAGGAGGAAAGAAGCGAGGCGGAGGTCGGTTGTAAATAGTAGTAGTAGTAGGTAGTATTAGTAGTAGTTAGTAGTAGTAGTAGTAGTAGTAGCAGTAGTAGTAGTAGCGGTAGTAGTAATGAGTAGTAGTTGAGTAGAGGCCGTCGTCGTAAAATAGTAGTAGTAGTAGGTAGTAGTAGTAGAGTAGTAGTAGTAGTAGTAGTAGTAGTAGTAGTATAATAGTAGTAGTAGTAGTAGTAGTAGTTTTATTTAGGAGTAGTAGTAGTAGTAGTAGTAGTCGTAGTAGTAGTTAGTAGTAGTTAGTAGTAGTTAGTAGTAGTTAGTAGTAGTTAGTAGTAGTTAGTAGTAGTTAGTAGTAGGTAGTAGTAGTTAGTAGTAGTAGTAGTAGTAGTAGTAGTAGTAGTAGTAGTAGTAGTAGTAGTAGTAGTAGTAGTAGTAGTAGTAGTAGGTAGTAGTTAGTAGTAGTAGTAGTAGTAGTAGTAGTAGTAGTAGTAGTAGTAGTAGTAGTAGTAGTAGTAGTAGTAGTAGTAGTAGTAGTATTGTAGTAGTAGTAGTACTACTAGTAGTAGTAGTAGTAGTAGTAGTAGTAGTAGTAGTAGTAGTAGTAGTAATAGTCGCAGTAGTAGTAGTAGTAGTAGTAGTAGTAGTAGTAGGAGTGATAGTGGTAGTGGTAGTGGTAGTGGTAGTGGTAGTGGTAGTGGTAGTAGTAGTAGTAGTAGTAGTAGTAGTAGTAGTGATAGTGGTAGTGGTAGTGGTAGTCGTCGTAGTACAAATAAGTATAATGGTAAGACCCGCGGGCTCCAGTCGCCAGTGGGCGCCAAGTGCCAGGCCAACGATTCGGGGTGCTGGCTGCGGTATCGTTTCACCCGAGGGGGGCTACTTAATCGCTTCATGAGGTTAACCCGGCTCAGCGCAAACCCGGCTGAACCAATTAGATAACAACTGCTCTGTGTTTTTTTGACTGCTTCCAAGGGCTGGCTCAGCCAATCTATAAGACCACCTCGAAAGCCGCGAGCGGCTCCCAAACACTGCTCAGCCAAAATCCGGCTTGGCGGGATCCTGCGGGGACCTGGCGCTCTGGCTGAGCCCCCTTTGTGCTGAAACCTGTCACCTGCCGCGCGAATCCCCTCTCGTCCCAAACATTCAACGCTGATCCTGAAGCATTTTTCATCCCAAAGGCCGAGAATTGCCAAAAACAGGCCGCTCCACGCTCTGTCGAAGCCTCGGCTCTCTGGTGTCCCCCCTCGCCTGTGCCCTGAGATCCGACACTGCGAAACAGTTGCAACACCACGACGCGAAAAGTCACGACTGGAGCCTCAGACCTCATCTCCCTGCGGCAATTTTCGACCCAGATCGATCTGCGAGGGTCTTGGGGCCCGAAACTGGGCGAAAACGCCCGGCTCGAAAAACTTGCAACGCCTCAGTCTCAGCATTGTCGGCTGCACGTGAGAGTAACCCTGGGCAAGAGTGACCTTTGGTGCGCGGCTGTGGGGTGGCGCGAGGGGGCCATACCCGAGCGCGCAGGCCGCTGCTACCGCATGGCGTTCAGCGATCGGGGGGCCCCAATGGGCCCGCACCAAAGATCACCCCAGCGAATGGCCACTCTTACATGCAGCCGAGAGAGCCCCCGGGTAACCCTGAGGGCCCCGGCGCGCACAAAGGGACGCAGCAATCTCATTCCCATCCCAATACCAAGACCATCTCAGTCCTGACCCCAGAGATCCGATGTCGTGATTGTTTCAATGCGTGGTCCCCAGAAGTCTCGACCCGCTCCCCAGCAACTTTTCGTCCTGAGTCGGTTTTTGACGGTCCCGAGTCCCGGCGAGGCCCTGCAGAGGCTGACGACGGCGAAAAATCTCCGTTTTGATTGCTTCAATCCGCTGGATCTCTGGGACCGCCTCTCGCCTGTCCGTCGTGGTCTCTCCCCCACGGGGCGCCGACCCGTGTGTTTGGGTGTGTGCCGCCGTTTACGTTTGTTGTGTGAACTCGCCGTGCGGTTGTGAGTGAATCGTTGGGGCGCCGTGAACCAGAAGTGGGCCCCGAAAGTACGCCGCTCCTGGCGCTCGTGCGCGGCCGCCAGCGACGGACCGCCCCTCGGAGCTGATCCCCGGCCGATCGCGGCGGGTCCCAAGGTGGGGGGGGGGAAGTCCTCGTCCTCTTCCTTCCTCCTCCTCCTCCTCTCATCCTCGTCGTCGTCGTACTCCTTCCTCCTCCTCCTCTCCTCCTTCTCCTCATCCTCTCCTCCTCTCCCATCCTCTCCCCCTCCCCCTCCCTTTCACTCCCCTCCCCTCCCCTCCTCACTCCCTCCCTCGCGATTAGTCTCACTCCCCTCCCCTTCGCTCCCCTCCCCTCCCCTCCCCTCCCCTCCCCTGCCCACCCCTCCCCTCCCCTCCCCCCTCGGTCTGCATGGCGTCTTCAGCGTAGTGCACACCCCTGGCAATGATGCCCTCTGGCGTCTTTTCGTGGATGTCCGAATTTCGAGTTCCGCTCCCTGGCTCAAGACTGACCCCGAAGCCTTCCCCAATACCGACGCCGACGCCGACGCCGACGATGACGCCGGCGGCGGCGACGACGACGACGACGCTGACGCCGACGCTGACGCTGGCGACGGCCCTGACGACTACGCCGACGCCGAACCCGTTGCCGTCGCACGTCCCGGACGCCCCTCGTCGCCACGGCCGGAAGCGGAACCCAGACGGCCCTGCTCCCAGACAACGACGCCGACGCCTACCCCGACTCCGACTCCGACGCCGACGCCGACGTCCACGCCGACGCCGACGCCGGCGGCGACGGCGACGACGCCCGCGGCGACGCCGACGCCGACGCCGACGCCGACGCCGACGCGGGCGGCGACGCCGACGCCGACCCCGTCGCTGGCGAGCGTCCTGGGGGTCCCTCGTCGCCGCGGCCCGAAAGCGGAACGCAGCAGCACAATCAGGAGAGGCGGAACCCAGCAGCACAATCCAGTCGGGGCGGTGCGTGGCGACCTTCCTTGGGGCCCGCTGGGGCGGCGGCGGTAGCCGGCGACTGGATCGTCGCCAAGCACCCGAACGGGAACCCATCGCTCGCCCCGGGGTGAGCTCCTGCTCCTTGTCAAAGGCACCTGGACCGCTTCGCTGGACACGCGCGCCCGCTGGGATTCGTTCACTTCGGACTACGGGAAGCAGGGCAAGGGGCGGGCGCGTCCTGAGGACGTCCCAGCACACGTCCTGCTCGACTTCCTGAGCTCAAAAGGAGCCCTGGCGGCCCGGGTCAGGAGGATGCAGCAACCAGGTGGTGAGCCCCTGGAGCAGACATTGCGCTCTGCGCGGCGGCGGCACCCGCGACCCCAGCTGGCACGGCGACGCCACCTTCCTCCACTGCTTCCTCCGCCAATGCAACCCCTCGCCTTCCCGGTGCCCCGACCTGGCCCACCCTGTCCACCCGGGCAGCGGGGGCCGCCGGCTTCAGCCACAGTTTTGCCTGGCCACACAGCGCCGCTTGCTGCCCACCCCTGCGGGCGGCGGCCCCGGCCCTCCCCTTGGCCCACCCTGTCCTCCCGGGCAGTGGGGGCCGCCCCCCTCCTTGCGCCGCCGCAGCGCCCGGGCTGCTGCCTGCAGCCGCCTCGCGTTCGGGATCCTGGGCCTGGTCTTGCCGCCTGTTCCCCCACGTTCTCCGTCCGCGCGCCGTCATGGCGCCGAGCCGCTGCCTGCAGCCACCTGGCTGGGGTGCTGGGGTTGGTCTTGCCGCCCGCCACCCCCTCCCCGCCATCCTCCGCCGGCCAGCAGCATGCTGCTGCTGGCCGAACCCCCCTTGGCGATACCCTTTCGCCGCCCCTTCCGCACCCCTACCTGGGGAACGCGCAGCCACCGCCTGGTCCTCAGGCCCCTGACTGCATCGTACGCTTGACCCGCTGGACTCGCTCGGTTCCCGCACTGGGCCCCGCGGCCGCTGGCACCCTGGCGCAGCAGCCGCCGCTGTCACCGCCGGCGGGGCTGGCCGCGCCACCCGCTTCGGGCGTGACCCGTTTCCCGGAGCGGCCCTCGCCCGTCCTCCCCTCCTTCGGCCGCTCTCCCTGTCTTCTCCCTATTTTCCTGCATTGTGGCACACTTCGCTACAATTGTGTCCCCGTTTCTATAAATCTTCCGCCAGCACAGTTGCTCTGCCTGGCCGCCGAAGCAAAAGCAGTTTCGAACTCTGAGTTCCCCTCCTCCCTCCCTCCCTCCCTCCCTCCCTCCCCTCCCCTCCCATCCCCTCCCCTCCCTCCCTCTCTCCCTCCCTTTCCTCTCCTTCTCCTTCTCGTGCGCCTCGCCGAGAGCGTTCGTGGGGGGAGCCAGGACCGCCTCGAACGGCCACGGGAGAGAGCCCAGCTATGACCCCCAAAGCGTCCGAGGGGGCAGGCCCCCGCAGAAGGCGGCGCGGCTGCTCAACTTTCTCTGAGCCTTCTCCGAAGACAACAACTTCTCGAAATACCGGAGGCCTTCTGCGAAGGCTTCCGCTTCATGTCGCCCGAATCTCGTGACGCCCGCTTCGAAGCGAAGGCGGACGAGACGCAAGGCGGAGGAGACGAAAGGCGGACGAAGCGAAAGAGGACTACTCTCGGGTCATAACTCGGCTCCCCTCGTTCGGCGGCGGAGATCCGCGATTTCCCATGGAAGCGACCCCAGGAGGAGGAGGAGGAGGAGGAGGAGGAGGAGGTGGAGGAGGAGGAGGAGGAGGAGGAGGAGGAGGAGGAGGAGGAGGCGGAGGAGGAGAAGGAGGAGGAGGAGAGTTAGGAGGAGAGGAGGAGGGAGGAGGAGGAGGAGGAGGAGGAGGATGAGGGAGGAGGAGAAGGAGGGGGGAGGAGGAGGAGGAGGAGGAGGAGGAGGATGAGGAGGCCCCTCCCTGGGTCCTCCCCCTCTGTGGGCCCGCCGCCTCGGGCGGGTCCCTCCTGTGGCCCGCGGGGGAGGCGTCCCGCATCGCGTCGCCGCCGGGCTCCCGCGCAGGGGGCACGCCGCCAGCCGGCAGGCCGCGGCGCGCGGCGCGCGGGGGCCATGCAGCGATCCCGCCGCCGTCGCCGCCGCCGCCGGCGTCGGTCGATGGAGGATCGACGGAGGACGCGAGGGGGGGGTGGGAGGAGGAGGAGGAGGAGGAGGAGGAGGAGGAGGAGGAGTAGGAGGAGGAGGAGGGGGAGGAGGAGGAGGAGGAGGAGGAGGAGGAGGGAGGAGGAGGAGGAGGAGGAGAGAGGAGGAGGAGGAGGGGGGGAGGAGGAGGAGGAGGCGGAGTAGGAGAGGAGGAGGAGGAGGAGGAGGAGGAGGAGGAGGAGGAGAGGAGGAGGAGGAGGAGGAGGAGGAGGAGGAGGAGGGAGGAGGAGGAGGGAGGAGGAGGAGGAGGATTGGTGGGAAGGGCAGGATGTCACAGAGACGGGGAGCAGCCCGGGGGGAGAAGCCTCGAGCTCGGGATCGGCGATGCCTCGCCGAAGGATCGGCGACGGGCACGCGATGGCGAGAAGCAGCACGTTCCCGGGCGGGTGGGGCCGTGAGGCACCCGTTGGCGATGCGGGGGCGATTGGGGGGCCGATGCGTCCGCCCCTGAGCGGGTCAGCCCCCCCCTGAACGTGGGAGCGGAGGCCTGCCGATCTAAGCATCGTTGTTTCTGTACCTTTCGATCCTGGCCTCCTTCCCTCTCCCAGACCCCTTCGCGTCGTGAGCACAATCACGACGGCATCCTTTGGGGGGGACTTTTCGGCCTCCGGTTTGGAGTCCCGAAACGGTGCGGTGACAGACCGTGCGGCGACCTCGAAATCCCCCAAGACCTCACCACACGGTCCGTCACCGCACGGTCTTGGGACCCCAGAGGCCCCTGTCGCCCGAGACATCCTCGGAGAACGACCCGAGTCCCAAAACCGTGCGGTGACCCCGAATCCCCACCGACTCACCGCACGGTGTGGTCACCACCCCGTTTGGGGACCCCCGATCCGGGGGCTCTCGCCAGGCCCAGGACCGTCAAGAGACGACTCGAGGTGAGACGCCGGTCCTGGGGAACCGTTCGGGCCTTCGGGGGGTCCGCGTCGCGAGGCCATCCCCATCGCGACGTCGGGGGTCTGGGCTTCGGCACCTGGGGCCGCTCGCGGCCCCCGGGGCATTCAAAGGGGAATCGGGGAGGACAGACTGCCCCTGGAGGCCGGATGGGGTCGGGACCTTCGTGGGGCCCGAAGGCTGTAAAATCGAGCCAGCGGGTCTGGGCAGCGGAGCGGAGCCGACCAAAGTAGCATAAAGGAGGAAACGGGTCCCGAAGGAGACGGGCTCGTTATTTTATTTTTTTGTTCTCTCTCTCTCTCTCTCTCTTGTTTTCCTCTCTCTTTTTTGGTGACAATCCAAAGGCCCGTGGACGGCCCCGAGAGGCTGAAAATCGCGTAAAACCTGAGGGCCCGTTGGCCTCAGGGCCCGCTGCCTTCCATGGCGAGGGAAGGGACCTGGGGCAGACGGGGCTCCCAAGCTGGACCGCCGCGCCAGTGCGTCGGCGCCTGCAGGGGTGGGCGCAGGACGGGGGGCGCGGCGACGCTGAGATCCGACGGCGCGAACGAACTGGAACATCGTGGAGAATTGCGCCTGGAGCCCTAGACTTAAGTCGGGCCTGTCCCCCTACAGGGGGATTTTCGACGAAAAGTAAAAAATACCCCAACAATGATCAAACAATAATCCAAAAATAGTCAGGGGACTATTTTTTGAATATTTTTTACCTTTCTGGGTCAGTTTTGGTGTATTTTTATTTCTTCTTCGAAAATCCCCCTGTATTGGGGACAGGCCCAACTTCACCCTAGACCCCATCATCCGGCGCCACTTTTCTGCCTGGAGGTGCCCGCAGCCGAGCGAAAACGCCCGGCTCGCAAAATGGAAACGCCAGGGCCCCGGCATTATGAGCTGCAAGTAAGGTTGACCCTAGGCTGAAGTCGGGCGTGCGCCCCCTACAGGGATGTTGGGCGAAAGATCAAACATATTGTAGTGGCCTCCGGCCGGTGCCGCCGATCCGGGGCGCTCCGCAAGATGATGATCAGGATGATGGTGCAGGGGAGAGGGCAGGGGAGGGGGTCTGCTCTGCAGGGGGAGTCCGCTCGGCAGAGGGAGGGACTGCAGGGGAGAGGGGTGGTCCGCTCTGAAGGAGGGGGGGGGGCTGCAGGAGAGAAGGTCTGCTCTGCAGGGGGGGGCAGGGGAGGGGGGGAGCGTCCGCTCTGCCAGGGGGGGGGGCTGTACGTAGGCGGGGGTCCGCTCTGCGTGTGGGCTGGGCTGCAGGAGGGGGGGTCGGGTCCGCCTTCTGCGGGGGGGGGGGGTCCGCTCTGGGAGGAGGGGGGGTTCAGGAGGGGCGGGTCTGCTCTGAAGAGGGGGTAGGGGTGCAAAGGGGAGGACAGGGGGATCCGCCTCCTGGCAAGGGGGGGGTGGGGCTGCAGGGAGGAGGTCCGCTCGTAGGGGGGGGGGGTTTGCTCTGCAGGGAGGGGGGTGGTGAGGGGTGGGGGCGGTTCGCTCTGCAGTGGGGCGGGGGGGCTACAGGGGCGGGTCAGCTCTGCCAGGGGGGGGGGCGGCAGCATCGAGGGGGGAGCGGTTCCGCTCTGCCAGGGCCGGCGACGGGAGCCGGGGTCCGCTCGCAGGTGGGGGGGGGGGCTGGGCTGCAGGGGGGGGGGCGGTCCGCTCTTGCAGGGGAGGGGGGTCCGCTCGGGAGGAGAGGGGGCTGCAGGAGGCGGAGTCTGCTCCGGCCAAAAGGGGGGAGGCAGGGGAGGACAGGGGCCGCCCGCTTCTGCACGGGGGGTGGGGGGAGGGGCCTGCAGGGAGGATGGTCTCTTGCAGGGGGGAGGGGTGCTCTGCAGGGGGGGGGGGCAGGGGGAGGGGGGGTTCGCTCTGCAATGGGGCAGGGGGGCTACAGGGGCGAGGTCCGCTCGGGGGGGGGGGTGTGCTGGGCTGCAGGAAGCGGGAGGGGGCGTTCTGCAGGGGATGGGGGGTTCCGCTCTGGGAAAGGGGGGGGGGGGGGCGAAGCACTGAACTATGTCGGAATGAAGTCGGAAATGAAGTGCCCCCCCCGCAGAACGAGGCTTGGGCGAGCTCAAACCCACGCTCTCAGAAACTCACACGCCGGATCGGCGGATTCAAAGAATACCGCCCACATGGGCAAAAGTAGTCAAAACATCGTCCCCATACTTTTTTGTTGTTGTTGAACTCTCACTTCTGAAGAACAATTATTGTTGATCCCCCCTGTCTGGTGCCCATTGGTTTTTTCAATTGAAGTGCTTCCTCCGGGGCTCGCACCCTGTTTTTTGAGAGGGAAGGCCTTGCGGATCAGATTGCGTTGTTGGGCCCCGGACTACAACAACAACGGCTCCCGCCTGAGACTTCCTCACAATTTACTCAGGACCCCCGCTCCCGCCTGAGACTTCCTCAGAGTTTATTCCGGAAGGGCGCTCCCGCTTCAGACTTTTTCGCGTTTTACTCAGAAGCGGCGCTCCCGCTTGAGACTTCCTTGATCAGGACCCCTGCTCCCGCCCGAGATTTCCTCATAATTTACTCAGGAATGGCGCTCTCGCTTAGGACTTCCTCGCAATTTATTGCAGCATCGCGTTCTCGACGCTCAGGAACCACGCTCGCGCCAAGGACGCCCTCGCAATTTACTTAGGAATCGCGCTCTCGCTTAATACTTCCTCGCAATTTACGCAAAAATCCCGTTTGAATGTCCCGCCCGCCCGACCCGCCCGTCAGGGTCCGCCCGCCCGACCGGCGCTTCCGCCTGATACGTCCGACAATGTACTCGGGACCCCCGCTCCCGCCCAACTCTTCCTTGAGGAATACGCCCTCGCCTAGGAATTCCTCGAACGTTCACACTCTTACCCTCCTGCCCCTTCCTCCCCATCCAACCTCCCTCCTCCCTCCCCTCTCCCTCATATCCACCCTCCTCCTCCCTCTTCCTCTCTCCCCTCACCCTCCTCCCATAACCCTCCTCCCTCCTCTCTTCGCCCTCCCCTCTCCAGCCTCCTCCTTCCTCCCTCCTCTGTCTCTCTATCTCCAATCGTCCCCTCCCCCTCCTCGCCCCCTCTCTCCTGGCGTGTTCCCCTTTAGCCTCGTCCCTCCCCCTCCCTTCCTCCCACTCTCCCTCGTTCTCCCCCTTCCTCTTCTTGCAGGGCCCGCGCTAATTCCAATGGTGGGCAAAGAGATGCGTGCCCCATCCTCCGAAAAATTCCCCGCCCGTTCACGCCCGCTTGTCTAAGCCCGCTCGCCCCCGCAAAAAGAAAGAATCCCCCCAGAAGGGGGTGCGCTCGAAGACGAAGGGGGCGG